AAAATATGCCGAGTGCGGGGCTGATCGAGTTGAGTTCGTTCTGTGTTGCGGAACTGTAGCGGTGGAGGCTCTTTAACCACAACAGGAAGGACGCTGTGTTGGCGCTAGAGTTGAAAAAGAAGCTATCCCATATCAGAACCAGCCAGAATCGCTTCGATGAAAAGAGCTTCTTGGCAAGTCCCCAAGAGAAAGAGGCACTTTTGACTTGGGATCCCTGTTTTTCTAGTCGCTTGCGAGCAACATCTAGATCATGTTGTGAGATCACGAGGCGGTTGGGCTTATCAATTGTCCCTGGGTAGATAAAGTAGCCAATAATCGCAAGGGGCATGGTAATGACAGCGTTGATGATGAAAAGCCAACGCCACCCTGGTAGTCCGTTGACCCCATCTAGGTAGTCGAGTGTGGCACTCTGCAAAAGACTAGCGGTCAGGAAGCCTAGCGTGAGGCCGATGTAGAAGGCTCCTCCTCGTCTTCCTATCTCGTTGCTTTTATACCAGGATCCGAGAACGAAGTGCACCCCGGGGAAATAAGATGCCTATCAGTGTTAGTAAGACGAAGGGATTACTTTCGGGAAGTCGGTGAGTCATACCTCAAAGATTGAGACCATAAACCTGTAAGCCATAATTTCTGCATAGCTTGTGGCCCTATACTGCAGCAGAGTAAAGATTCCCCACAAGAGATCAAGAGTTGGGACGAGGTAGTGCATTGGCACCCTAGGAAACAGGTACATAAAAGGCAAAAGTGCAACGACATTGCCAACGGTAAAAATAGTCTGAAAATGGACTAATTCGTTCCCATGGAAGTTCAGGTCTTCAGCCATCCCTGACAGGTATGCATTGTCTAAGAGTGGTGCAATTAGTACTAATCCTTTCATAGCTTCTAGTGGTTGACTTACTGATATTTCCCTGATCAATGTACTTGACCCAATAGACCACAAATGCATATGGGACAATCAAAAGATCAAGCTTTAACACTAACTTTCTCTCTTCTGGCGTATCATCCGGAGAATACCAATGGTACCACCTTTTGGTGGGGGTAGTGGCCGTACCCATTGCAGTAATAGAAATAAATACAAAGATTTAATCGCCGTAAAACATATTCATTTCGTAGTAGAGATACCACATTTTATAAGAATGGTTTATCTAGCTTATTGATAGGGCTCCGGAGTGGTGGATGTTGCAATTTGAGGTGTTGTTAACACCATCGTAGTCTTTTTAGACTAAAATGATACTATCCGAAACTCAATCAAAACAGCGGAGGAAAAGATAAGCTATAGGGCTTTTATCAGTGGTTTTTTAGTACAAAACGGGGTTTTTCTAAATGGGCCTTTCACACGATGAGGTAAATGGTCATAGTTAAGCGAGATAGGTTCCCATAAATCAATGGCGAATACTCCGTTACGATTACCTGCTTATTATAAGAAAAGCTAGAGATCCACCAGCGGACATTTGATACGGTTAGCAATGCGTGTGAGTAATTATTCAGAAAACCCTAAATCTTTTAGCGCCGGCGATTCTAGTAATATACCTTTAAAGAAAATATAGTATTATTCTTAATAGATAAATTTAGGGTTAAGACTGATATAGTAGAATGAGCAAAAATAAAAAACGAAATGATAAGAGTGGGATTTGAACCCACGCCTCTTGCGAGACCAGGAAACTATTGCTAGTTGTGGAGTCAAGGTATACCTTAACCTGGCGCCTTAGACCAACTCGGCCATCTTACCAAGAACGGGGCAAAAAGCTTGAGTAAGAGGTATATATGGCGCGACCCACAACTAGCTTGCTTCAATATTTGAATCCATGAAGGTATGTACTAACTACGAAATTCAGGACGGCTTTTACTAACATCCCATTCTAGGGTAATCGAACTCTCAAGCTGGTGAGCTTTTTACGAGATGTTAGACGGTTCGTTCTACGAAACATGCAATCCATAGAGACAGTGCCACTCCAACTCTACGTTTCAATTGTTATTTCCCCCCACAAAAGAGCTTACTTCGAACCATCTCGGCTGTCCCTAAATTAGGGAGGTTGTTACCAGCCCTTCTCTCTCCTACTTGAGGTAGCAAGGTTGTGATTTTTGTCTGCAATCTGCCAAAGATTTTTGAGTTGTTCATCTGATGTATACATGTGTTCAAATGATCCTTAGCTGCGATCTCAATTTCTAACTGAGTTGGGGTCAGCCCTTGAGGACCTTCTGAATTTCGCAATATCTGCGATAGCCACTCTTTCCGTCGTTTGATGTATCTCATTTACACCTTACGCAATGTCATTCGTCTCGCCATATTGTTGAAGGTTGTTGCCGGTTGGTCAATTCCAAAATTCACACTATCGCGGCTACCAAACCCGCAAGACGCTGTCGAGTTGGCACCGCAGCTATGGTTCTCAATTCGTCATATTTATTGCCCTGTCGACCCTCAGTGTCACGACAACATGGTACTACATGTTCGCGTTCTTCGCGCATTCCTACCGCAGCTGGGCAGCCTGCCGGGTGGGTTTCAGGGAATGCTTGAGTAATAGGCATGGGTCTACATAGATCTGGGGTATCTCGTTGCCTTTTATTCGTATATTCAGACTCTATCGTAGAAGTCAACCATTATTGCCTCTCACCCTCACGGCCTACCCCGAGGTTCCCAGCCACCCACACTACTGACGCCCTACCTCCGACAACATCATTCCATCTCAATACCAGCCCCCGGCCAGATAGAGCCGCCATCTCTAGTGCGCCAACCCTCACCTGCCCCATCTTCGAAAATCCAATTGATCACTAGTTGACTCAGGGCATTTAGCAAGACCCATGTGAGTGTCACGGAGCGGAGGATTTTGTTCGCGTCGATCGGTGTCAGTTGGTTTGGTCATGACGAGAAATGGGATCGCCAATAGCCCCAGCCGCAGTTTCCAGGGGAACAGAATATAGATGATAGGCTAGCAATGTTTCTTATATGAGGATGAGCGAACTTGGCGACTAACAAAGTCCCCCAATTCCCACGCCTACGTTGTAGGCAGAAAATAAGTATCGCCTTGGTTCTGGACATCTGCTCAACTTCCTTCCTCCCCTCACGCGATGGCCGAAGTGGTTGGCATTGTGTCGGGCACAATTACGTTCGCAACTGTCATTGCCCAAGTCGGACAATCCATCATTTTACAAAAAGATTGCTGGAATCGGATAGAAGATCATTTGAATGATATATGCGAGTCCTCGGAAGAGTTAAGATACGACGTACTCATTCAGGCACAAGGCACAGCTGTAGAGTTTCGCTTCTTGCAGCGTAACCTTTTTCCATCATCTTATGAGCTTCCCCATTTATCTCGAGTTAGAGTCGCCATTCACGCTGTATAGTTCATGGTTTTCAATAAACACATGCCAGAACTTTTTCGAACCATCCTATGGAGAGATAACCTCAAAGCCGAGAATGCGGGGTTCAAATTCTCTCCTTCGGCCGACGGGTTACCTTACTTCACACAACACCAACACGATCACCAGAAGCAGACGACGATAGCCCACCACCTAGCGATGGTGATGGGCAGTCAACTCACAGCCCGACCCGAGTTCGATGAATTGACCCAGAGACGCGGGAGAGGCCCGTCTGACAAACTCTCGAAGATGCTATACAAGTCTTGGTATGACCTCTCTCGCGACTTTGTACATAATTGCCGGCGTGGACTTTAATCATTGTTGGCGGTGAAACTCCTCTCATGGTATTTTTGAGGGGCTACTTAAAGTCCCAATCTTCTTACATTGAAGATGGCTTGTAATTAGTCTCCATTCTTCGACCTTGGCTAAGGATTCTTCAGGTTGCTAGTCTTGACCTAGAAAGACTCGGTCAAAAAGAAAACCACATTTGGAAAAATGAAGCCATACATAGAGAATTTGCTTGGAAGGATCCATATCGCCAGCCAAAGCACTGACTCATTGGATTGACTTATGATCTATCCCCTGAGGACAGGTACATATGGCTCTCTGAGACGACGAATGCTTTTGCGACAGAGTTCTGGGACCTAGTCGAACGGCCAGTTGAAGTTAAGCAGGCAGCTCAAGTGATGCCAGGTGGTTGGCCAGATGGATCATCTTGAATTTTATTTGCACTGAAGTGAGGAAATAGGGAGTAAAGAGGTGAAACTGATTTCGGGCGTGTCTGTACTAGCTAGTATATTTTAGCAAAATCGCATTATTAGACGACGCGAATCTCTGCGATAGAGGAGAGTGCGAAATAATTTACTCGATATAGCGCTAAGCGATATATAGCTAGCACTCTTATGCAAATATTGTGATGTTCTAAGTTCTAAGCGCCTCAGCGGCGACCTTTGAGCCTCATCTGCCTATGGTTGTCTCCACTTTGACCCTTGAAAGGGGGTGGGGTACTATTACCCAAGATGTCACTCTCTACTCCGTATTGAGGTGGTAAATGCTGTGCCGGCGTCGCGATTCAAATCTAGCAAGTTCTACACTTGGATTAACAAAGGTTTTAGCTGACCATCGGAGTTGGGGATTAGTTGGGTGACTGACCATCAGCATATCCTCACTATTGTGTAGTTTAGCTTTTGTTATACCGAACAATAAACTGGCGCTAATGGGTAGCATATAAAGCATGGTGATGATATAGGATGCTCTGGGTTACTTGGATATATTACAGTTGCCGACATACACATCTATTATATACAAGACCAGATGAAATATATATATTTTAGAAATAGCGTTTATATTTTATGGCTAACCATCAAACAATGAAGCTAAAAGGCTCATAGGTAAACACAGACTATATATATGTAGCAAGTTGATAGAGAAGTAGATAATATGTATCGATTCAAAGTGCTATATAGGTTATGCTACGTAGACATAGGGTGTCCACCACCCAGATGACATGGAATCCCCATTCCACAGGCCTGGGCCTGGTTCATAATATACAACTGAACACCAAATATAACAGCGCTTGTAAAGATAACACCGGAAACAAACCAAAATGTACCACCAAGGCTAGACCGAAAGTCACAAGCTATAATCTAATTCGACTTCCCCGAAAACGAAACCAGAGCCCCATAAGACTCAGTCAAAGGCCACAACCCCTGAGCAAAACCAACCGCCCCAGCAACAAGAAGCACATAATAAGCAACCGTCCACCGAACGCCCAACCCCCCACTACTCACCCCAATGTTGACATCATCATCATCGGAATCCTCCTTACCCCGAGTCACAGGGGGACTAATAGTCTCAACAGCCTCAACACGACCCCAGAACCGCGGCAGTCCACACCAGTTACAGAAACTATGGATGAGAACAACGGCCAGCAAGGAGCCCGTCCGCAGATAGATGAACGTCGCATACCAGCCGAAGATAGTCGTGTAGCCGAACTGGAAGAGCGACCGGAGTAGCGCGGCCAGAGCCGGCGTGTCCGGGTGGGTCAGACGGAATTCGTAGAAGTGGTGCACGTGCGCAATGCCGAAATACAGCGGCGCCAGGAACACGATTCGACCCGGCGAGGTGTGTGCTAGTAAATGTAGCGGGACCATTGCGGATCGGAACATGACTTCTTCTGTGAAGGGGCCCTGAGAAAGACATTAGATCTAGTTTTCACCGAAAAGGAAAGGAAGAAAGGGCTTACTGCGACATAATTCCTCCAGCCAATCCAGCCACCCAGACTCGCAGAGAGGCTACTAGGACGAAACCAGAACTTCCACTCGCCCTCGACAATACCACGCTCGAAGAGCGGGCCCAGGAACAGAATGGCGGTTAGGAAAAGACTCCGCAGCGTCTCCAGCAGGCCGACGGGCCACCAGCCGAGGAGTCTGACACCGGCGCCGAGGGAGGAATTATCCCCCTTGACAATGAGCCAGAGGACTAGCACTGAACTCACGATACATGAGCCCGTGACTGCGCGGATGCGGGCGCGAATCACAGATGGGGCATCGCGACTCAGACTTGGGGATGGTCGGGTTGTTGGGGAGAGATAGAATGGTACCACGTAGAGTAGTGTGAGAAGGACCTGTATGGGGTTAGATAGGATTTAGAATAAGAGATGTTTCTTTCTTTCTTTTCTTCTCTTTTTCTGTTTTTGTGTTTGATCTCTCTAGGAATTGTTCTACATACAGATAAAAAAGCAACCGTGTATTCTGACAGGGCAGGTTCATCTGACTTTGTGTTAGTTGAGACATTTCTTTTTTTAGGGTTTTCCCCCTGACTTACCCTGCTTCGAGTATAAACTCTTGAGTTGAGCCATTATCCCTACGGGTGCCATGATCTGCGGAGTTGGGAGGAGGTTCAAGTTGCTATTTATGGATTTTCAGATGGAAGAGAAAAGGGCCTGGAGTGTTCTCTGGAGTGTTCTCTGGAGTGTTCTTTGTTCCTGTTGACGTACATCATACAGAGTGATGATTGGTTGGAAGTGGTATAATATGTATAATACAGTATGGTATTGTCATCAAGCACCATGGACTGATACAGGGGAAATCCATGTGATTTCCTTACTTTTGGGGTTCTTTTGGTTCTCTTTTTCATTCTTTGATATTGCACATAAATTGGATATCTTCCATTCTATATATATCTATACTCCCTACTCCCTATACTATCCAAAAACACTTGAAACCGTTTCAGAGTTCGAAAAAGCAAAACCGGATTCGAACTGGTGGACCGTGCAAGAAAACAGGATGTGAGCTCTCAACCCCCCCAGACCCCCTTGAGTGTCTTCATTTTAAATGTGAGTCAATGTGAGGGTTCGTGGTGAGTTATTCTCCGATCACGAGCAGGAAACATTTATTGGCAATGAGCATATCATTATTGTTCTATTCTGCCGTTCTGTCAGGGCGACGCTACCAACTAGTGGCAGTTCATCAGGATTGCCAACGCACACCAGGCTCCACCTAAAATAGGCGATGAAATGAGGAAATGTGTTTGAAGGAGTCAATTGTGGCTCTCAACGGACGGTTATCTCCGCATTAATATGGATGTCACCTATATTAAAGATGAGGGCCCAGGTACCATCTAGGAATTACATATACAAAAAAATATCAACACCTGAACAATCAAGGCAAAAAAGAGAAAAATTCAATTGCATCAATTCCATCAACTGCATCAATTGTTGAATTGTCCACTTACAGTACTTTCGATCTGATCCAATCGTTAAGAGCCACCAAGTGTCAATCCCCCTGCGTCTACGATCTCACTTGCTTAGACGCTCACCGCTGGGCAACCAGAATTCTTCCCCCTTCACTCCAGAGTGTCTCAAGTTCTGCTTCTGCTTTGGCTTCTCGTTTTTGTGCTGTTCTTGTCCCTTTCTGTCCCTTTTTGTGTTTTGAAACGCTTTAATGATTGTTTTTCCGCCAGTCACTCTTTTAATGGCCTTGGATGTTTGAAACGAACTAATTCTCTGACCGTTGCAACGTCTACCCACGCTCTTTTTTTTGATGAACATCAGCCTATAGAATCACCCTTGATATAGGGTACCACATTCCTTACCTCGAATACTCGAATCCTCGGAAAAACAAACAACAATCCACTCTTTTGACACCTTGTTTACACGTTTTGGTTTGACAATTGCTTTCGCCTTTGCTTTTCCATCGGTCTTTTCAATCAATGCTCCAAGTCTCTCCAAATCATGTCGTTTCCCGTTCGGTCGACCTCGCCGCGCGCGCGAAAGGCATTGCACGAGCGTACCCCCTCTCACTCAAATGAAAGATCACCTACCCGGTCATTGCGCATCGTTCCGGATGAGGAGCTCGATATGTACACTGCGACCCCATTCCCGACCAAGCCCGAGCAGATTTTGTTACCTCTCCCCGGCAAAGGACAACAACAATACATATCAGACACCGGTTTCAGCTATTCAGATCACCTTGGACCATCCACGTCGGCGTATCCCTCACCGGCTTTCAGTCAACCCGCACCCAACAGCCCCAGAGATCATTCAATTGGTAGCTGGGATGTATCCTCCACCGTGGATACCGGTAACTCGCCTCCGCAGTTGTGGGATGACGACCCATCCTCTAGCAAGTCATCGCTGCCAGAAGCTTCGAGGAAAGCACCGGATTATGGGTCCGAGAGTTCAGAAGCCGAGTTCTCAGACGACGAGATGATGGTCTTGCCGACGACCACCCCAACGATAAAAGCCGTACTCTCCGAGCCATCCATGTCGCCAAAGTCCTCTGCCGAGTCCGTAACAGGCTACTCCAGCCCAATTCTTGAACAAATCGGGGCCCCCTCAAGTCCCAACTTTGTTATGCTGGATAACTCGAGTATGAACTTCCACCGTCCGGCTACAGCATCCTCCGAGTCAGACCCACGGACGAACTCGCTCTCCTCGTATAACTCACGCGGAACCGTCGTTCGACACGTCGGCTCTGCACCCTGGTTCCAAAACGCCTTCCAACCAGCCTCATCCGAGCAATCAAGCTATGGATCCCCATCATTCCACTCCAGCCCGCCGGCCCAGTCAATAGCCTCATTCCACTCGAGCCCACCCACACAATCCATAGCCTCGTTCCGCTCGTCGTCTAGGGCACCATCAGGCAGCCGTTCCCAATCAGCAACATCTTCTTCTCGCAGTCTCCGCTCAGCTTCTGACTTGCAGGCAGCAATCGACAATGGCGTACCTGTTCAGTACCCGCGCATCCGCGCGCCATCGTCTTCAAGCTCCCGCGCCGGCACATCGGTTCGATCAGAGCGCGACTTCTCCCCTGGCCCTGCATCCGGACGCTGCAATCCCCACCTGGCCTCAGGACGCTGGAACCCGCATCTATCAACAGTCTCTTCCATCTGGTCCGCCGACGAATTAACCAACCTCGCCGGAGAACCAGACACAGACTCAGACCGCGAAATGGCAGAGCCAACCCCACCGCCACCAGCAGCCCTAGCAACAGAAACAACCAGATCCTCCGTCTGGCTCGTCGACCACTCAAACGACAGCGAAGACGAACGCCTCGACGGTCTAACCAACCTCCCCACCCGTCCAGTCTTCTCCCAAAGCCTCTCCTCCGGCTCAAAGAGAAGCAACAGTACCCGCAGCCTCCAACGCCCAGGAACAGGCTCAAGCACAATCCTCAACATCCTCCCAACATGGGCAAAAGTCTACTACCTTCGCGAACCAATGGGTCTCAACTCAACTCTCTCAATGATCGACGCTAGCCGTCCACCATCAACCCGTCCCGGAACCTCAAATTCAAGCGTCTTCAACCTAGTCCCAGGACCCCTCAACATCCCCCGTCCCCGCTCCCCAGAACGTCCCCGACCCCAATCCCCACAACAAAACCCCATCCCCCAACGCCGTCTAGAAAGTGACCCCCGCGATCCTCGCGCACACTGGGTCCCATCCCCACAGCCCGAAGACGGCGAGTTCACCGGAAGCCACCTCCACCGTCTCCGACACAGCTGGTCCCCGCATCTCATCCCCGATCGACGTGTTCTACAACACTCGACGAGTCGCTGGCGTCCGCCCTCACTCGACTCCCGCTACGAGCCTGTCCTCGGCCGGCGCAATCTCCAGGTCTATTCCTTCTGTCTGGGTTTCATTTTCCCACCTGCGTGGTGTGTTGCGGCGTTCCTGCCACTCCCGCCTAAACCGAAGGTTGCGCAGATGGTTGAGTATGAGGTCGGTTCGGATGTTGGTAATGCGCTTGAAGCCCAGTCTGTCAATTTGCAGCAGAGACGGAGGGATAATGCGCGTTGGTGGCGAAATCTTAATCGATGGATGATTACCCTTGGGGTTGTCATTCTTGTTGTTATTATTGTTTTAGCGGTTATTGGGACTACCTCGGGTTTTTAGGTTTATACACCACATTTGGACTGCGTTTCATTGCGATCTTTCTTTTAACGCTCTTACGACTTGGATTTGGGGTTTCTACACTGGAGACCATCTTTGATGCTCCCTTCTTTTCTTTTTTTCTTTCTTGGGGATTGAGTTCCCTCAACCAGTCGACTGGTTCTTTTCTTGCTCTTCACTGCAGACACTTTCTCCTTTGATCTATTCTTCTCTTGATTATTGACTATTCAGCCTCCCCCTTTTGTGTTGTTCTTTTTTTTTCTTCTTTCGCTTCTCTGGCTGCACATTTGTTCTGAACGACTCCACGACTTCAACGCACATAAATATCCTCTTCTGTTTTACATTTTTCTCGACGTTTCAACATTTGCCTTCCAGTCTTGTCTGTGGCTTATGTTTGCTGGAATCGCGTTCTATGCATGGCGACTGCCCTTGTTTGCATTTATGCTATACGTCCGTGTATTGGATATATGTTTTTTGTTGTTCTGCTTTTTACTTGTTCTTCTCTTCATCACTCGATGTTGTATCACAATTCACTTATGGTATACTCCACTTCTCCGTTGCATTCTCTACTTTGAAAACTAATGGTAATCAAAAATCAAAGCTTGCCATTACCTGCGCAAACCATCCCTTGGAATATCTATAAACACCTCAAACCTAGAAGAGACCAATCTCGACCAAGCCACCACTATTAAATAGAATAAAAACGTACACACTTCTAATTATTTTTATAGCAAAACGGAGAACACAGAACAAACCAATCCAACGGCTGTTCAACCCCTTCTATCCAATGAATCCACCACTCTCACACACACCTTGGCATATTTAGTTCTCATATTAAAATCGCCTTCTACAACTTCCGCCCAATCTTCTGCTCAACGGCAGCCTTCAACTCTTCACCCGTAGGCATCTTAACCGTACTTCCCCGTCTACCACGGAACTCAATCTCAGCCTTGATCTCAGCGACAGCCTCGTCAAAGTCACGCTCGGGATCATTCGGCAAGCCGAGGACAGGCGGACGCACGGACTCAGTGCTGACGCTACGGGTGACGTGAGGACGGTTGCGGCGCTTGAGCTGGGAGACGAGGTATTTTCTGAGAGGGGAGAAGGAGGCGAAGGCAACTAGGGAAACGGCACAGTTGACGATGCCGTAGAAGTAGACGCGCGACCAGACGGTGACGGACTTGTCGAAGTTAAGGATGATGAAGGGGATGACGGTGAAGGAGAGGGTTAGCTGGGTTGCTAGCCAGCTGAGGATGTCATAGTAGCGCTTGTTTGCTGTCGGCTTGGTGCCGTCCGGTGTGAGGAAGAAGGGGCGCACGTAACGGCGGAAGTCTATTGTATGGTTAGTTCTGGGAGGAGGGTTGGATGATGGAGATGTTTTGATGCTTACTCTTTGCCACAGTCTGAACGAATGATCCCAGTACAAAGGTCATATAGTATCCTGGGTGGAAACCGTGCCAAAGGGCACTGGTGGCGAAGGTAGCCATGCTAGCGCGGAAGCCGGGTTTCTTGCCCTTGGGCGTGACACGGAGGTAGATGTAGTTACGCAGCCAGTGGTTAGTGTTCTTGTTCCAGTTGCCCAGGTAAGCGTGCGAGTTCTGCGCCGTCTCCATAGCCCACGGATCGACGTTCTGCAGTCGGTTCCAGAACACTTTGCCTGTTTTCGGGTCAAAGCTGTTGTATCCCATACCGGATAGAATACAGGCACCCTCGGTCAGAGCCCAGACGCCGTAGTACTTGGTGCGAGCGGTGAAACCAAGCATGTGCACAGTGAAGATGCGACGCAGGAAGGAATACTGCAGGAACTCGTCTGAAAGCACAAAGTCGGTGGTAAAGTATGAGCTCAGTTGGATGAATGCGAAGATCCAGACCAGGCCGGCAGCGGCTTTCATTGCGGCAGGTCTTCCGCTGCGAGGGATCTTGCGCTTCTTCCGGGTGGGTGGCACCTTGGATGGGTCAGTGCCCGGCGGGACTTCGAAGAGCGTAGTGTCGATCCAACGGCGGTAGTCCACATATTCAAAGGAAGGACCGGCAAAGAGAGAAGGGAAGAAAAAGACGTAGCCCAGGTAGTCTACAATACCCGGGAACTTCGTAATAGCAGAGTACTTCTGCGGGTCCGAGAGCTGGTCCTTGGGCAGACGGCCGTCATGAACATTCCAGCAGAAGGAGGTAAGTTTCATGACCATAACCATCTGCGCTCCAGTAATGTCAACGGCCGAGCTGTCGTTCGCCCTCTGACGTTCGATGTGGTTAATTGACATGTGACCCATCAGATAAAGGAACCCAATCCACGGCATCAGTGATCCATCCACGTAGTAGGCGATTGCATAGGTGGCCGCGGCACTGTATAGTAGGGTGCGCAGGCCATCCCAGAGGTCGAAGAGTCCAACAATATAGAACAACGACACGGCGATAATGAAGACATTCTTTTTCCAGGGTTGGCCATCGGGTATACGTTTGAGGAGGGCGGCCAGTGGGTAGGAGAGGAGGAAAGAGCCGATCAGCTTCACTAGAGCTGGGGGTCAGAAATTGCTAGTAAGGTCGGGAGCTTATGGAAATGGAAGATCGTACGCTCATCAGTCGATGCGCCAGTCAGTTTGGCTGGCACCTCAAATACTGCGGGGAGAAGTGTTAGTTGGACCGAGGAGCTAGGGAGCTATGAAAGTTGACATACTCTGATCTACATAGGGCAACATATTGTTGACCTTTGTAGAGGAGAAAACAGACAAAACAGAAGAATAAAACAGATGAGAATAAGGAAGAAAAGAAAAAGAAGAAGCAAGAGAAAAAAAAAAAAGACCAAGAGAAAAAAGTAAAACAGCTTGTCATGTGGAAAGTGGAATTCCACCCCAACAACTTCCCGCCCTCTCCACATTCAACCCCTCGATCTTCAACAGCTTCAACAGCTTCAATCAGGAAGTATAGCCGATAATTTGAAACCCCTATCTCCTGCAATCTCCTCACCATGGACGTCGTCGCGGCCGCCTCGGGGTACATCTCCAAGATGGTCACCGTGGGCGAGTCCGCAGGAGCTTCGTCATCCAAGATGAAGATCTTGCTTCTTGATAGTGAGACAGTGGGTGATTTTACCCTGCTAGCAATATACCGATCCCCATCGCTAACTCCTATGGTTATAGGTTCCTATTGTTTCGACCGCCATTACCCAGTCCGCCCTCCTGAATCATGAGGTCTACCTCATCGACCGCTTAGACAATGCCGCGCGCGAGAAGATGCGACATCTGCGATGTCTGTGTTTCGTGCGCCCATCACCTACCTCTATTCAATTTTTGATTGACGAGCTTCGAGAACCTAAATACGGCGAATATTACATCTACCTTAGCAACATCATCCGCAAATCCGCCCTCGAGCGACTTGCAGAAGCGGATAGCCACGAGGTCGTCCAGTCGGTCCAGGAACAATTTGCCGACTTCCTTGTAATCAACCCGGACCTTTGCTCTCTGGGGATGGGCTTCCCATTGCAACGGATATGGAGCCATTCGCCGGACTTATGGAACCCGGATTCACTACAAAGAGCCACAGAGGGGGTCCTGGCGCTGCTTCTCGCGTTGAAGAAGAATCCACTTATTCGCTATGAGAAGAACAGTCTATTGGCCCGGAAATTAGCCACAGAGGTCCGGTACCACATCACACAGGAGGAGCAGCTATTTAACTTCCGCCGGACGGATACACCGCCTATCCTGCTCGTTCTTGACCGCCGCGATGATCCCATCACTCCGTTGCTAACCCAATGGACGTACCAGGCGATGGTGCATGAAATGCTTGGCATCAACAATGGCCGCGTGGATCTGCAGGATGTGCCAGATATTCGACCAGAACTGAAAGAGATTGTCTTGGCTCAGGACCAGGATCCATTCTTCAAGAAGAATATGTATCAGAACTTTGGTGATTTGGGCCAGAACATTAAAGAATATGTGGAGCAGTACCAAACCAAAACTCAAAGCACTGCGAATATCGAGTCCATTGCGGACATGAAACGTTTCGTGGAGGATTATCCCGAATTCCGCAAGTTGGCAGGTAATGTGAGCAAACACGTTACCCTGGTGGGCGAACTTAGTCGGCGTGTCGGCGAGAACACCCTTCTCGACGTGAGTGAGTTGGAGCAGAGCTTGGCATGCAATGATAACCACTCCAATGATCTTAGGGTATGTTCGAAACTTAAACTGATTATGCTTTGTTCACGGACTCACTCTTCTGTAGTCACTGCAACGAATCATCGCGCTGCCAAATGTGCCCTCAGATAATAAGCTGCGCCTGGTGGCTCTCTACGCCCTTCGCTATGAGAAGCAACCCAACAGCGCGCTGCCAATTCTCCTTGATCTCCTCGTCACAGCAGGCGAAGTCCCATCTAACCACGTAAATATTATCCCCAAGCTCCTCACCTATCACCACTCGCTCCAAGCCCCACCAGTCGCAGGCGGGTTCTCCGACCTCTTTGAATCAACCTCCTTCTTCTCCGGCGCAAGCAGCCGCTTCAAGGGCCTTAAAGGTGTCGAGAATGTCTACACTCAACACTCTCCCCGACTGGAAGTGACTCTTCAGAATCTGATCAAAGGCCGCCTGAAGGAACTGCAATACCCCTTCCTCGAGGGCAGTGGACACACGCGGGACAAGCCGCAAGACATAATCATATTTATGGTTGGTGGTACCACGTATGAGGAGGCCAAGATGGTAGCGCAGGTCAATGCCAGCTCCCCGGGTGTGCGAGTCGTTCTCGGCGGCACTTCCATTCACAACAGTACAACCTTTTTGGAAGAGGTTAACGATGCAGTGGGCAGCTGGCCAGAGCCAGAACCCACGACAGCTGCAGGACGGCTGCGACGGGAGGTGGGACGATAATTGTGTTTTAGTTAGTGTGTATATGGGTAATGGAATAGCATTATATCAAGTAAAGCCTACAAATAAGAGTCAATTTCATAAAAACCAAAAATAAAACCAGTCAACGGCGACTTATTTCGCATTTGTCGCTACAGCGCTCCGTAGAGAGACAGACCCCAAATGCGGAGAGATTCATCTTCCTCCCTCTCCCCTCATTTGAGAGCCACATCATGGAGTACAAATCCCCAAAAGGAGGGCCCTCCTCTCCAGCAACCCGTGAACCAAGACTCCAGCTCCCTTCAACAACCGATCCACCGGGCCCCCAGAATCCGGCCAAACCCCTCGTATGGCTGGTATACAACCCCATCCCACCAACAAAAGCCACCCCACACACAAACTAACAAACCTCCCCAGATCTTCGGCGCAACCGGCCACATGGGCCGGTCCCTAGTAAAAACCGCCCTCGCCAATAACGACCTCGTAGCAGCCGTCGGACGCACATACGAGAACAGCCCCGAAGCAATGAAAGAACTAGAATCGCCCAACTGCATCGGCCTCCTATGCGACGTACGAGCGCGCGAGACCGTGAAACGCGTAATTGACCAAACAATAACCCACTTCGGCCGAATCGACATAATCGCAAATTGCTCCGGCTACGGCGTCATCGGCGCCTGCGAAGACCAAGATGAATTCGACATCCGAAATCAATTCGAAACAAACTTCACAGGAACACTGAACATGATCCAGCTATCTTTGCCACATTTCCGTCAGCGGCGCGCGGGGAGATATCTTATTTTCAGCTCGACGTCTGGTGCCCTCGGCGTGCCCGGGCTCGGTCCATACTGTGCTTCCAAATACGCTGTCGAGGGCTTGATGGAGAGTATGTTGTATGAGGTGGATAGTTTTAATATTAAGGGTACGCTTGTTGAGCCGGGACATATGCGTCGTGATGATATTGTGGATTTGGTTTCGCCGTCTGCGAAAGCGCCGGATCCTTCTGAACATCAGCTTTCGGCGCCGTTGCCGCTCTACGGGCATTTTTTGGTTAAGCCGGCCAGTGAGCCGTATAATACGACTACATCGCCGGCGGCGCATGCGCGGAGGATGCTCATGTGGCTTGGGGATAAGCAGCCTGCTAGTGCGGTTAAGGCGGCGCATTTGGTTTGGCAGCTTGGGCATTGCTCTTATCCACCGCTGAGGTTGATTCTGGGCACGTATGCGGTTGAGAGTGTGCGTGATCGGTTGAAGTGTATTATTGAGGAGATTGAGGATTGGAAACATCTTAGTTTCCCGATGGGGGAGACGCAGCTACCCGTTGGAGGTGGGCGGGAGAGGTCTTCTTTCCAGGAGGGCGCTGAAGGGGGGAGTGAGTTGGGTAATGAGTGATTTTGGACTTGGTCAATGTTCTATATGTTATATGATACCCAAAACCGATCAAGGAGCCTACATATTCCCAGGCGTGGGGGATTTTCGTATGAGGAATGTATGACCCCCTACAAAGCTTCATCTGGAGTTGAATGCTTCTATCAGAACAAGAAGACTTGCCCCATACCCACAAATGTGAGGATGCAGATGACAAACGCTATGATTTTACATACTATACTGCATGCATGCTGTACACCACATAAAAACCTACTGTCTCGATAAATCCCAAATTTTATATCATTCAGACTTGCTAATAGAAAACAAGCTCGAAGGCACTAGGTCCACTGGTGCTAGCAAATTCCTTTGCGGGCTGTCGATTATTTCATATGACTTCTGGGGTTTCCCTGTGAGCACTGCGCATACTTTCAACGGTCTGTCTGATCGACTAAGACAGGCTTGCATTGTATTCACCGCAAGGCTAGAAGGATCATCCTAGCGAACGACTGGGATCGGGAAGCCACCGGGGTTGAGAAGGCCTCGTCGGTCCTCTCTGGGGATTGGCCAAATCGTGGAGACGCCATTGCGGTGCGATACGATGCTCAGGTAGATTATTGGCTTGATGTTTTACTAGGCGTTGAGGCAGTAGGTTAGTGTTGTGGTTCAAGTGAGCCATCAGGATGCAATCAGGACACACATATCAAGTGATGATGTGAATAGGGTGAATGGTATGTGGACCAAGCTCTTGCTTCATAGCATGTAAGTGAGAGGCGAGTCTGTGAGAGTTATTGATTAAAGGGCGTCGGTGTGTGACGTGTGATATCGTATGATATCAAGCATAAAATGAAACTGAGGTTTGAACCGAACCTATTGATGAGGTGAGGATGAGTAAGTGAGAGACCACAGAGGGGATAACTAGCTGGGGCCTGGTATTCGAAGCATACACTGAGGTTCTGATGTTCAAGGGTATAAACGGCGCAGGTTCTCGCGCTGAAGGAGACGTAAGTGAGGAATGAGCAGATGACAAGGTGACTGGGTGAGGTTACCAGGTACTGAGAGGTATATGCATCGAAGTGGAATGCGCATTGGGAATGCCCTCGTCAATGTACGGGGTGACTGCTCGAAGGTGGTAGTCTAACTTACGTGAGATAGGCATCTTGCTGATGTTAGAGTGATTCTTATTGCGACCATCACCTGGGAAGGGTATGTCACTTTGCCAGTTGGTAGGTGGCTTTCGAAACCAGGTCATGAGGGGTCACAACCTGTCAGCTCTAACAGGTTCCTGGGATGTGTCTCTTTATAATAATTCGATGAGATAGTTGGAAAAACCCTCATGTTATAAGAATATATATAGATGTTAGGAAAGATGATGAAATAAGAAATATATGAAGAGAGAAAAGAAAAAGAGAAGCAGGTTCCAATGGATATTGTCATTCATAGCCATTTAGGGCCTGATATCCCAGGCGTCCAGGTCAATAGCCGATGTAAGATGCATAGACTTTGAGCTATTCATTCTATTTAGGTCAAATCCCAAATCTAACTCGACGCCCAATCCGTCGACATCTCTTATTTTCTGTGTATATAGCCAAAACAGACAGAAACCGAGTGAGGTGAGAAAGCTCTATACAAAACTAAAAAAATAATATACAACTCTATCTAAGATAGTAATACAGATCCCACATTTAACACCAAGGTATAGAAAGGGGAGATCAGAAAACAACATTAACAAGCTTACCTCCCTTAACAACAATAACCCGCCGTCTCTTCTCCCAGTCATTCTTCTCCTGAAGCCACGACTTCCCCTCAGCAGTCTCCAACACTCGACTGACAATCCAATCCTGCTCTTCCTGCGAAGGAGTATTCTTGCCCTGCGACGCTGCCGCCGGAGCCTCCATGCGCGGGATGGTCACGGCACAGCGGAGCTTTCCGTTGATCTGGACAGCGACGGTTTGGCCGCCGCGGGAGGAGAGAGTTTCGGCTTGTTCGGGTGTGAGGAGGGTGCTGGGCCAGAGAGATGAAAGGATTGACGGTACTGGTGTTGTAGAGGTATTTGCGGTGGCGTGCAGGACTTCCCATGATTCAGAAGCTAAGGCTGGGGTGATGGGAGCTAGTAAACGGAGGAGGGATGAGATTGATAGGTATAGGATGAGAGGGGAGGAGGCGGGTGTGGAGGCCAGGGTGTTAGTCAGCTTTGTCAGGTCTGAGATGACTGTGTTCAGACCGTAGGGGTTGCTTTCGATGCAGGTCGTGACGGATGCGATGGTGTTGTGTGTGGCTAGGACTGCGTCTGCGTCCGAGTCACTCAGGTCTTGCAGTGATGACGGGAGGGGAGTAACGTGGGTAGTAGAGGATTTCAGGTCTGCTTCCGAGACGGAGAATGATGCCTCCGTTAGGGTCTGCTGGGTATCTTGGACGAGTTTCCAGAGTCGGTTGAACCAGCGCTCGACGCCGACGACCTTGGTTTCGTCCCATTCTAGAACTTCGCTGACGGGTGCGGAGAACAGGATGTGTGCGCGAGTAGCATCGGCGCCGTACTTTGATGTTATGGTGGTAGGGTCCACGCCGTTGTACTTGCTCTTGGACATCTTTTCGAAGGAAATATTAGGGGAAACTTGTGTTCCCTTTATCAAAGGCTTGTCTGGATTGGTCAAATCAACTTCCGACGGGAGAAGGAAGCGGCCTGTCGAGGGCTCAGTGAAGGTCTTTCCGTGGACCATGCCTTGGCTAAGAAGCACTTTGAATGGCTCTGCGGGTGCAGCAGAATTCCTATTTGGGGATAGCTCAGATTGAGAGAGGAATTTGTAGATGAATCGAGCGTAGAGAAGATGCAGAATGGCATGCTCGACACCACCGATGTACACATCCACAGGCTGCATCACTGCAGGAGAGAATGGGGCTTCCTTGTTAACAGAGTCCAAGAACCGCAAGAAGTACCAGGACGAGTCCACGAAGGTATCCATAGTATCTGTATCGCGTCGAGCAGGACCATTGCAACTGGGGCATTTTGTGTGAAGCCATTCCTCTGAGGATTCCAGAGGATTTCCCTTCTTTCCCTTAAGCCACTCTCCTTCGATCTTCGGCAGCTTTACTGGAAGATCTTTGCCAGGCACCGGCACAGGTCCACAGTCCCCGCAGTGGATGATAGGGATGGGCGCACCCCAGTATCGCTGGCGACTGATCAACCAATCCCGTAGGCGCCAGCTCTCGACGAACGCAGCTTGACCGACCTGCTCCAGGTCATTGACAATCCGTTTTGATGCCTCCTTAGAGTGTAACCCTTGGTATTTTCCACAGCGTAAGGTTAAGAAGCCCTCTTGGGTAAAAGCTTTTGTGTCTGACGTCGGCACGACACTACTGTTTGCCTCATTGCCACTTGGCTCAGCCTCGATAACAATAGGGATCGAGTCAGAGTTCACATTTTCCTTGAAAAACAGCATGTCCCTGGTGTCATGGCCCGGAACACCCATAACTGCTCCCTCGCCATAGTCACTAAGGACGTAAGGAGCCACAAAGACAGGAAGTTTCCTTAGCAAATGAGGGGTTTCTGTGTCAATCTTGCATAATGGATGAGACACCTCAACGTCGGATAACCGGTATCCTGCTTTGGAGTCCGGTGCAAGCGACGAAGCATCACTCAGAAATTTGCGAAGTGCCTCGTCTTTCTCGGCAGCCTTCAACACAATAGGGTGGTTCAAAGAGAGTGCCAGATACTCTACACCATACAAAGTGTCTGGCCGAGTAGTGAATACATTCACGTCGACTTGGTCACCCCGTCCGATGGTCACAGGGAATGTCACCTGGGCACCATAAGACTTCCCAAGCCAATTGCGTTGCATCGACAGGACACGCTCCGGCCATCCCCCAGCAAGAGAATCGAGGTCCTTCAGAAGTGCTTCCTTGAAATCAGTGATCTTAAAGAACCACTGCTTCAAGTTCAGCTTCTCAACTTTAGCCCCAGACCTCCACGAGAATCCATTGGCATCAACCTGCATAAAAGTTAGTTCAAATCAAGATAAACCCTCTGTTCTCGACTCACCTGCTCATTTGCCAAAACAGTCTTATCAACAGGGTCATAATTAACCAGCGCTTCCGCCTGGTACGCCAAATTCTTCTGATATAACATCAAAAAGATGCGCTGAGTATGCTCATAGAAATCTGGGGAACACGTAGCCAGTTCCTATTAATAAGTACAATCAATTAGCCATTCATCCAAAAGTCAACCCACGACCCAACCCGCCATATCCAAATGATTCACACCAACATACCCGATCCCAATCAAACTCTGCTGAAATACACCTCAACTGCTCCTTCATCTTTGAAATATTCTCATACGTCCACACCGCAGGATCAACACCCCTCTCAATCGCCGCGTTCTCCGCCGGCAGTCCAAATGCATCCCACCCCATAGGATGGAGCACGTCATGTCCGCGCATTTTATAGAACCGCGAGATCACATCGGAGATCGTGTACACGCGCAGATGACCCATGTGCAGCGTGCCGGACGGGTATGGGAACATGGACAGGATGTATGATTTGGGTTTATCTGTTGCGTCGGGGGTTGAGCGTGGTACCGTGCGGTCGCTTTCCCATTTTTCTTGCCATTTTCTGTCGAGGGCGGGCAGGTCCAGGCGGCGGGTTGTGGTGCTGGATAGTCGGGTTAGGGTGTAAACTGGTGAGAGGGCTCGTAGAGTTGGACGCGTGTAAATGCGGCCAGGCGCGATGGCGCTGGTTAATCGGAGTCGTGAGAGGGATTGCATGGCTGGATGATCATTATGTGTCTGAAATATTTAGAGATTGGAGTATTAATTGGAGTAATTGGTCATGTCGATTTGAAGGTCTGAATGTTTCACTTGCGCATCTTCAAAACTTCCCCGGAGCCCGGGTAGCTTTAGCCCCGATTTGGACTAGCGTATCAGCACTATACTTCCAAGGTTTGAGCATTTTTCTAGAAGTTTTGAAGGTACCAAGGTCATTTGGTATTTGAAGGAAATAAATCTTTTAGCAATGTTCTCCTTGTTGGATGGGATATGAATATGCATATCCCACCTTGAAAATCACTATGTATCATACACTCTATTCTATCCCAAATCTACAGCCTCAGAATATCACCATTCCTGTCAATGCCACCACGGAAATGATCCACAACTACCTTCCCGCCAAGAATAGTCTCCTCGACAAGTCCCTCCACATGCTTGGGCTCAATGCGGCCGTACCAGATCCCCTTACCCGCCAGCGGGTGAGGTTCTAAAGAAGTTCCCACGGTCATCTTCGGCGGGATATAAACAATCACATTGCCTGCGTATTTATGTCCTCCAATATGACTGATCCGACCAATATTAGCGTGGCCGGGGCCATCCACCGTGGTCCCATCACCGTCCACGGAGGTGAATCCTCGTGATTGTAGCACGCGCTTGAACTCGCTTTCCAAGGCGGGGGCCATGACACCACAGCGCATGTCGCGACCTCCGTGCCCGCATATTAACACTATTGGAGAGTGGTTGATGTCGATTACTTCCGGGAATTTTGATGCTAGGTCCGGGGATCGGGTCATGTCTGCTTGTTTTGTAGCGGGGAGAGAGGAGTGCATGTCGTGGATTCGTTCTGGGAGAAGATATGCGCGTACGAAGGTTGTCAGGTCGGTTGTTTGGTCGGGTGATGAGGTTGTGTTTACGGGTATTGAGGGGATGTATTTAAAGCTGGGGAAGAGGAATGCGGAGGCGGAGGCGGGGGAGGAGCTTGCAGCTGGGGCGATGGATGAATTCGTGACCAAGACATTGTTGAAAGGCTGGAGCGACAAGATCTCGAATTAGCAAGAGTTCGCGCATCTATTGTAGGGTTATGTGATCCACTTACATCAAGATATGGCCCGCCACGACCTAGCAGGCTCTTCAGTCCTCTCACAAGGTTGCCCCAGCCTTTGTTCTCACCATCCTCCTCAATGCGACTAGTCCAGTCTGGTTGTCCCGTGCAGATGAGAAGCTGCTGCGCGTAGGCAGCCATCGTCCCATTTAAGGCTTGTTCATGGTCGATCGGTAAGCCCTCCGGCAGGGCGGGCGTGGGTGGACAATTGCAGCTTGGTTCAGGGCATGTCTTCGTAACGGGGAAGGGAGGGGGGATTTCCAGGCGCGTGCGGAGTCTGCTGCTGGGCTGAGGGGTACTGGACAGTAGGCGGAAGGTTTGGCAGTTTCGATAAATTCGCCCGCTCCAGGCGCGCGTGAGCGGTTGCGCGAGTTTTGATTGCATTGAATAGTATGACCTTGTATAAATTGGTAGAAAGGAGCCAAATTAAAAGAACAAAACAAAACAAATTGCCCAGAAAAAAAAATAAAGAGATGTAAGCCTCGAAATGTCCGAGTGCCGAGTCCGAGAAATCGGAGATTCGGAGATTAGCAATCGCCGCCGTTGATTCGTCAGATCAGAGGTTATTCCGCTATAGCATTTATTGATCTTTGGGATGAATCTTGAGATTTGCTTTGTTCATTTTCTATCGCATATCTCTAGTCGCGCAAGCAGGCTAGTCCGGCGTTTTTGCTGCCTTGGATGATCCCAGATTGGAGTTTATCAAAATATAGTTTGGTAGCAAGGCTTTGCATGTTAGCCTCTTGAAACATCAGTTATGGTTGCAAGCTCGTACCAGCTGAGGGAAGTGGCATTCATGCGGTTCGGGCTGCCTCGGGAAAGTTGCGCGTTGTGGCTGACAAGGGTATTGACACCGTGCGAGATATTCCGCGCATACATGTCCGCACTCATGAGGCATTTTGTCGGATTGTTGATGTGAATAGTGCGGTCCGCAATTATTGTCTGCGGTATATGGTGGTGGTTATTTTGGTGTATGATTGAGGTATAACCCATGTGTTGAGGCGCTACGGCAGCAAGTTAATATGGAAGAAGATCCTGTGCTTAAGCAGGACTATCATAGGATGAAGGGTGCTGGTAATGGTCTTACGGTTACTCTCGTGGATGGCGAAGTTTTTGATTAGGTTTTGATTAGGTTTTGATTAGGTCTTTGTTGAGGGGGCGGTTCGTCAGTTAGTTAGTGGGCCTGCGGTGTTTGGGTCTCACAGCGAATAGGAGAAGTCAATGAATGGTTATGTCTGTAAAATGTTCAATGCCTAAAGACTCAATCGCATCACGATTTCATATTGCTGGCGATAGCACACGAAAACCGAAGTTCGAAGGTAACGAATCGAATTGAGTGGCCCCCGCACTGGTCATGCGACAATACGATATGCGCCGAAGCCCCGAGCGGACCAGCACATCACGTATGCGACTTCAAGAGAAATCTCACGGCGACTATTCTGATCGATCGCATGGATCGAAATTCGAGTAGGCAGTTTGGGATCAACGGTGACTTGGAACAGTAGCTAGTATATCATACGTCTCCCGCGAAAGTACAATGATGTACAGTCTGACTTCCTGCGATCGGAGGGTGTTTCTTAACATCAGCCTCGTCGGGTAAATGGTCAATGTTAGTTTTCCGATACTCAATGTAGTACACCACGTCGCCGCAATGCAATCAATCGCATGTCCGACCGGGGAGCAATCCGAATCAAAACATGCATTGTAGTTGTCTCAATTGATCTGCAATGTAGCAAAGGCGAGCAAATGCGAAGCGAAAAGAGAAATAAATCAGATCTTCAACCCGGGAGACGGTAGATTAAAAATTAATCCATTCATCCTGTTTGAGTCCATTCTTCATGCGGTCATGCTTTCCGCCATCTTGTTCATATGATCTAATCCGGAACCTAGTTAGTGGACCCGAATCGTTTCTCCAAGACCTCCTCGCGAGGAGGCGATGTACATCATGGATAGCTCTGTAAGGAAGAAGCGGGGCCGGAGTTGGAGAAGGTGATACAGAGGCCGAATTTCGGCAGAAGAGCGGGAATCGTTCGGCACGACTTCCGTAAGAATATAGGGTGCTGGGGGACTTGGGGTGTTTTAGTACCTTGTGAGATAGGATTTGCAGAGGCTGGCGGGTTGGAGATGTTACTTATTGTACTAATTGGGGGTGATTCTGTATGGGCTGTATGGACTCTGTACAGTGGTGGTCGGGTCGGTTTGGGTTTACCCCTCATTATGTCAGCCAAATTATGTCAGTTACCCCGCTGCGGGGTAACATCATGGATGCGTTGGATTTTTGGTGGGCTGAAGAGTTGGGGATTGTAAGATGGTGGGAATACTACAGAGAAGAGAGAGAGATATTGCTATGTATTCTATTTTTTGTTAAGCGATGATTGTATAACTGTACATGTGTACTACAAAAGTGCCCCTGTACGTTCACCCCTTTAGAGAGCTTACCAAGGTTAAGAGATGCAATAACTAGTGAGTACATTTACATCGTATATGTATAGTGTATGTCTAATAACAGTAGAATACATGGCAAGCTACATATGTACGTAACTCAACGATAATTGGCCGTGAACTCTTGACACGAAATGTGCAACCTGTTTCCTGTCCCTCGTGCGGAGAGATCTCCAAGTGGATTCCCAGTCCAGGCCGGCTCTCCCGTTGCTATTCCAGTTACATCTGAGGGGATGCACAATATCTCTCTCTCTGTAGAAACGGGGATATATAACCAGCTCCATTTGCTGTTCAGATGGTGTATCTCTTCCCACTCTATCCAACCATCATCCATTCCACTCTTCCTACCTCTTTCTACTATACCTGTAAGTCTATCTGTTACAATATCACATCTCTTGGCCTGCAACATTCGCCACTTCCCCTGCCTTAGAGCTTCCTTCATCCGGTTTTGTCCAACAACGTTTTTGGACATTGACCTCATCAACTAGTTATATAAGTAAATAACAGCGCTGACCCTTTTTCTCTAGCAACATCTTGAAAATATTTTATAATCCTTCACAATGGTATTTATCCGCTCTCTTTCCCGTCAATTACGACGGCCCTTCCTCTCGAGCTCTCTCAAGCCAACTGTTGCCTCCAGCCCATTCGCTCGGGTTTCACCTTTGGCTAGCTCTATTTCCGGTGCACGTACACTAACCGCAACTACGAATCTCCAGGGCAAAGTTCTTTTGGTTCTCTACGATGTAAGTCACTACCACTTCATACATTGCATACTTCAATCGCTAACCCGTTCTTTTCTGTGATATAGGGTGGTGAGCACTCCCAGCAGCAGCCCAAGCTGCTCGGTACCACCGAGAACGAGCTCGGCATCCGCAAGTGGCTCGAGGACCAGGGTCACACCCTGGTGACCACCTCTGACAAGGAGGGCGAGAACTCCACCTTCGATAAGGAGCTCGTCGACGCTGAAGTTATCATCACCACTCCGTTCGTTTCTCATGCACGCACTTTCAAAATCCCCCACTGACGATCAGACAGCTTCCACCCCGGTTACCTCACTGCCGAGCGTCTGGCCAAGGCCAAGAAGCTCAAGCTCGCCGTCACTGCCGGTATTGGTTCCGATCACGTTGATCTGAACGCCGCCAACACCACCAACGGCGGTATCACTGTTGCTGAGGTTACCGGTTCCAACGTCGTCTCCGTCGCTGAGCACGTTGTCATGACTATCCTCCTCCTCGTCCGCAACTTCGTCCCTGCCCACGAGCAGATCAAGAACGGTGACTGGAACGTCGCCGCCGTCGCCAAGAACGAGTTCGATCTCGAGGGTAAGGTCGTCGGTACCGTCGCCGTCGGCCGTATCGGTGAGCGTGTCCTCCGCCGCCTTAAGCCCTTCGACTGCAAGGAGCTCCTCTACTACGATTACCAGCCTCTCTCCGCCGAGGCTGAGAAGGAAATTGGCTGCCGTCGTGTCGATGATCTCGAGGAGATGCTCGCCCAGTGTGATGTCGTCACTATTAACTGCCCCCTTCACGAGAAGACTCGTGGTCTCTTCAACAAGGACCTCATTTCTAAGATGAAACCCGGTGCTTGGCTCGTCAACACCGCCCGCGGTGCCATCGTCGTCAAGGAGGATGTCGCTGAGGCCCTCAAGTCTGGTCACCTCCGTGGCTACGGTGGTGATGTCTGGTTCCCCCAGCCCGCCCCCAAGGATCACCCTCTCCGCTACGCCGAGCACCCCTGGGGCGGCGGCAATGCCATGGTTCCCCACATGTCCGGTACCTCCATCGATGCTCAGGTCCGCTACGCCAACGGTACCAAGAACATCCTCGACAGCTACTTCTCCGGTCGTGAGGACTACCGTCCTGAGGACTTGATCGTCCACAAGGGTGACTACGCCACCAAGGCCTACGGTCAGCGCAAGTAAATTGTTCTTGCATGACGCAGTTTGAAGTATTCTCTAGCTGAGAGGCTTCCTTTCATATTCTTTGTTTATATGTCCATAACAGTCCCATTTGCTCATAGCATGGGCGATGCTGAAAAAGGTAGCATCTTTTCACGATACCATTGAATAATTTTATAACCTTTACTTCTTTCTCCACTTTGACTTAAATTAGATTTCTGTAGTCTGTACTCCATATGGAGTATATTATAGTGACTTGTGCACGATGATCGGTGGAGCTATGTCGATCTCACCAGATTAATGCCCAGCCCTTCGGTGGAGTCTAGAACATGTAGAGCTGATATCTTTTTTTTAGGAATTCTTGACAACCAAGTATGATCAGTAGCAATAGGGTCCAAGTATGTACATGTATATCAATTGCTCTAATAACTCAAGTCCCGCGACATGCAATTTCCAAAAGGCAAAAGACAAAACAACTCTATTCACAAAGTAAAGTAGCCATGTTCGAAACACCAGACAAACAAACTCAGACTATGCAGGCTTGCAAAATATCCCTAGAACAAACCCCAACCCCAAGAATGCAGATATTGTATATACAAACGCGATCTTCAACATTTCAAAGCCTCTCTCCCCGTCCACTCCTACTCCTCTCACTCCCCTCCTCGTCACTATCATCCATAAACCCCTCCTCCAAATCCCGACTCAGCCGACTCTGAGTATCAGCCAGGTCATCACGTCTCCGTTGCTCCAATGCACCCCGCCTCACAGAATCCATATCCATTCCAACTAAGATTTCCCCTTCCTCATCGTCAATACTCTCCGTATCGTGGTCGGCTATGTGTGCCCCCCATCGCCATTGAGACGGAAGGAAGAAGTGCATCAGTTTATCGGCTATGCGGTCGCGTAGAGACAGTGTGTGCGCGGATATACTGTGTAGTGGGAGGTATTGGGAGTAGCGCTGGTGGTAGCGGCGGAAGAAGGGGATTATCACGCATGAGGCTATGATGTAGATTGATAGTGCGATTGCAGCTGGAATGAGGATTGT